TTCATTTTCTAATTAATTTATATTAATAGTTATACGCAGAATATTAGGAAGAATTGATTAATATGAAAAGATTATAAATTTATTAAAAATAACGAAGTTATTTTATTTAATACTATCCAGAACAGAAATATACTGATCATAAAATGCCTTTTTTCGCAAAAGTAGTTACATTGTGTAAAACATGTTTTTTTTTTGTTTAATTATCATTAGTTCATAAATATTTCGATTGATCAATCGAACAATCATATGTAATTTGGCTTATATCATTCAAAACATTTTTTCATTCAAACTTTTTTCAAATTTATATGAGATTTACCTCGATAATGTCAATGCATACACTCTAAAAAATATGGATGTGGATGTTAAATCATTTAAATTATGGTGTTAAATCCATATCATATTGGTGTTTATATCGACACTAATGTGATAAGAATTATTATAAATACTACATGGGTTAAATCCACACCTACATTTTTAGAGCAAATGCAAATTATTTTTGTTATTCATTTTAAATGTCCATGAATCTCTTTATATAATATGCCTATAAAGCCCGATTATAGTACATCATTATATGATGAGTACAGAATTTCGTCGTAGGCATATTCTTGATTATTTCCTCAAAGGATTTATCTTCGATAAATCGATTGATGATTGTCATTTGTATTCTCTTTGATGAAACTTGTCCTCAGCAAGGAATCTTATTTCACATCATTGGATTGAGGTCAGCGGATAGGAACGGAGATTTTAGAAAGACTCTCTTGGTCACACTTCGACCTTTCGATATTTCCTAATAAGCGGCTGCTTGATGGTGTATCAACGGATTGAAATGATGACCAAGATGATGCGGCGGCGGCCCAGGTAGGGGCCCTGGTTGAGGCCCAACTGTCGGTGGCTGACAAACGTACCACTCCGCCACCTCCGTCGCTCCGCGGCTCGACGGATCGTGGGTTCGATTCGTGGGAGGAAGATTAGTTGTTGTTCTTGTTGGGACAACCGGAGGTGGTTGAGGCGATTCTGTGTTACCAGTCACCGACAAGCTACCCCCGCTGCTGCTGCTCTCTTCTCCCTCGCTCTCGTATCCTCCTCCTACTTTACCTTCCGGTAATGACATTCCATGTACCTGAAAAGAGAATGTCGAAAAGGATATCGCATTAGACAACGATTGTAATGACGAGTTTTGTCATTACCATTGTAAAAAAGATGTTTATATATTTTATTTTTATATTATATGATTTATTATAAATTTATATGAAATTGCTTGAAGTATAAAATTAGTGTATTGTTGGGTTTATACATACTGAAAAAAGAGTGATAATAATTACCAAATGTTAAGTGAAATAATTCCAATTAAATATTCGATTAATATAACTAAAAATAATTTTACTTTTCTAAATATGTAGGAACTATTACCAGCTAATAATATAACTAACTATTTAGTAATAATACTTAGTAAATATTTAAAAGAATATAATATAATTATTTTTTATTATATTAGATTATCATTATCAAATATTTGATTGAAATTATTTCATTGAATATTTAATATCTATTACCAAAAGTGTTTGGTATCTTTTTCTTTCGGTGCATATCTGAATTCGGATCAATCAATAGGTATTTCTCTGGCATTATGAATAATAACTTATATACCAAATCTTTCAATTTTATGTGCTACTGTAAAATTTACTTATTAAGGTAACTCCGGCAAATACATCGCGCTAGGATTTACGCCGCAGAAGTCAGAAAAAATAGAAGGAGTAGGGATAATGTTCCCGCAACTACTCTGTTATATGCCTTTATGTTATATTAATATTATTATGTTATATTATGATTTCAGTTTTTTACTATTAATATTAATGAAATTATTGTGAGTTGAATTGATTTATCATTGTAAGTAGCGTCATCATAAATTATAATCTACATAAAATGTAGATTACTGTAATATGTGCAAAAGAGTGGTTATTTCATGATATATGAATGTAGAGGAATAGTAAAGTATGTTATATAACAAAATACAAGTACTTTGTTCTTATATTCTTTGTTTAGTTTGTTGTCTTGTATATCCCACCTGTTTGGAATATATAGCATTTTTAACAGGCGGGATTTATGCCCAAAGCATACAAAGTGCGTAGATTGAATTCAGTGCACTAAATACAATAAACACATTACATGAAATATATATCTCTATGAAATATGTATCTCTAATTATGTCATAACACACTTGTAATACATCTGGGAAGATTGTAATTATTATTTATTATTTCATATACATATTTACCATTTTCTTATTCCTTAATAAAATTTATGAACGCATTTTATAAGTTATTGTGTCATTTTACATCTTATTTATATGCATTATTTATGTTTTTTATGAGCCATACATACCCCCTCTTCCCCTTTGAGTAGTCATATATCCCATCCCTATATAGGATATATGGGACAAAAATGCAAGGGTTTAAAAAAGTTCATTTTTTAATACGAAATATAAATATTTCGGATTTCTATATTTTTTTTAGTAATAGTAGATAGTACAAAGTTTTTACTGATATAATTCGTTACTTTAAACATAGTAAATAATACTTAATAAATTAAGTTTTTGATAGGTGCAGCGTATATACCGGAGTTACCCTATTATTTTCTCAGAAAGTAAATTTTATGTGTTTCGTATAATATACAGAACATATTTTTGATTTATATGATACGTTTGGAGATTTATAACATTCGGAGAATTCGAAGTCGATCGTGGGATCGAAACGGAGATCACAAGGATCAGTAGAGATAGTAGCACAAGAAGAGCGAAAGAAACGGGGATCAAAGATCCGTTTCCATCTCTCTGGTCCTTCTTTCATAATTCAGTGAGCAAATCTCTACGACTGCCTTCCGCGAATCACGTCTGCGAAAACCGTAGAGTAGCAAAAGTATTCCCGGTGAAGCTGACCTATCACGCGTGTATCTCGGAAGTTGAGTTTTGCACGTAGTATTCTATCTCTCTCTTTCTGTCTTTCCGTATCTCAGCTGAGTGCTGAGATAATTTCTTATTAAGATTCTGTGATTGTTCATGCGAAAAAAATCATTGAAGTCTTAGGAACGGCATACAGTTTTGTTTCATTATTTATGCAGTCAATATCCGAATAAATATATACAAGAAACAAAAATCTAAATTAACATATAATAACATTTAACAATTAATTAAAATTAATCGTGATTGATTACCGATCAAAAAAATGCATATTTCCGATGTCTTTTCATTGTTTAATTTAGCGTTAATCCAATGTAACAATTTTCGGTTATAAAAAATGCCCCTATTAATTGTAATATTAATTTATTTATCTATCAAGGTTTGAAGGATCAATGATGTGTATCGCGCGCGCGCGCGCGCGCGTGTGTGTGTGTGTATGTGTGCGTGCGTGTATGTGTGTATGTATACATGTATATATCATTTGTGTATATCATGACATTTGTATATATACATCCAGTTACGATATTCATTTCATTAAATTACGGTTTAAACTGAATAATTACAATACTCCATATTACTGATGGTTTTTTCAACTGGGTTTAGAGGATTCTTATATTCTATATATTATTATTTATTGATCTCCGAATTTTCGGATTTACACTATCGTTCATAAGGGAATACTTGATTTTTTCATATCTAATGAAAACTTAACAAAAAGTTTTTTCTTTTTTTTTTGAAATTTTTACTTTCAAAGTTAAAAAATATTTTGTTATGTTAAAAATGAATTTTAACATAATAAATATTTGATTATTGCAAAATATTATCACCAATTCAAAAAAATCATTTCAAACTTAAAAAGATTTTAACACATTAAACGCCGGTCCCTATGGACCTTCATCAGATTCTCTATTTATGTCACGCTAGTCCTAAAAACTTTTTAAAATATTTGATAGATCTGTTTTAGAGAACAAAATTATACTATGTCTTTTGTGTGACTGATATTCGTCCCAACACCACTTTGCTTCTCGTTTTTTTGTTTATTTTAATTCACGTGACATTTAAAGTACTTTTTCGGTAAGTTTTGCCTGATAATGTTTCATCAAACCATAATATGGCAAAATAAACAAAAATATTTAAAAACTATTAATTTTCAATTTTAAATGTTATTTCAAATATAATTTAGGAACATAATATTGTAGAAATAAAACTAAAGAAAAACAAATTTATAACTTTATTTTTGCTTCTTAAAATGCATTTTTGAAAATTTCTCTATAATTTGTTTTTATTGAAATATTTAATTTTTCGGACGATTTTTTTTTCTCAAATATTTTCGAATTTATGAACAATAGTGTATCGCATAAAATGATAATTATATTATATTTTTTTAAAACTGGAATAATTGCTACAGAAAAAATTTTCAGAAGCTATCTTCTTATTCATGTTAATAATTGGAAAATTATTTTATCTTCTTATAACGTGTATTATCTTATCGGTTTGTTTTTTGCTCTTATACAATATTTATTTTTTTATAATATGTTATTTATAAAAAATAATGATTTTTCAAAAAACTTCGATAACGAAACATACTAATACTAAGTTTATTTTATAAGGTAGAAAAATGTTATAAATATTCACATTTGAATATACATCGAATATTTTGATATAAGTATCATGATTTTCGAATCTTGCTATCAAAATAATTGAGTATAGTTGTAAACTCTCATTAGCAACATAAACTTTTATTATACATATTTTTATATTAACGTTCTCATTTTTCATCTTAACGTTATTTCGTCGTAACGTAATATATGTCCAAAGTCGAAATATTGAACGACTTACGAAACGTAAGCAACCCGAATGTGTAAACGATAGGATTGAATTCCTAGTAGTGCATTCTCATCTATTTGCCATGCTAGTTTCATTAACTCAACTAGAAGACGTACCTTCATGTGTTTGCGTAGCGAACTAGGATGGGTATAGGACTTGTCACAGCCCGCCATTCGACAATTGTAAGGCTTGTCTGAAGTATGAACATGACTGTGCTTCTTTCGATCGCTACTATTCGCGAACCTCCTCTCACAGCCATTGAACTCACATCTAAAAGGTTTCTCGCCTGAAAAAAGAAATTGTAACAACATAGAATCAATAATATTTCCAATTAAACATGTAATACTTCGTAAAAGGATTATTGCGTAACATAAAACAGAAAAAAGAAGAACGAAATAATTGGTTTGAAATTTCCAAAATTTCTCACAAATAATATCAAGAATAATTGAAGTTAATCACATGAATAATCAGACGCTCATCGTGTTACGAACACATTAGGAAGAAGGAATTCACAATTACGTAGGTGTTAGTAATTAAAGAGCGATTACGCAAACGCGTTACAGAGAGTCTCATCTTGATCTCTGTATATCTTGATGAGTGGCGGCGGAACTCCTCTCGATGGCTTCTCTTAGCTAGGGGGATAGGCAGAAGGGAAGAGAGAGATATCGAAAGATAAGGTCCCCTGCACACGAATGGCCGCCGTTGTCGGGGCGCAGCGAGATCGCGTGGCGTGACTCTTATTTATTTCCAACGGAAGTTGACTGGAATATATTTTACCGTGTCGGTCCACACCCCCGTATTCTACTCCCTTTTCCGGAGCTTCCTCCTGGCGCTACGCTCTCGAGAAGAGAGCGGAGACGTGCGAACAGGAAGCGCGAACTTGGCGGATTTTTTATGGGAAAAATGGCGGCTCTCACCCGCATTCTCACCCTTGGACGAGTTGCGGGGACGAATCGTGGCTAGAATTGAGAATATGTGTTACCGAAATGCATAAAATATCGAAATGAATGCTGAGGAGAATAATTTTGCGAATGGAATCGAGAATTTATTCATTTAGTAATCGTCTAAATTCTTCGTTTCTCCTATTTATTTTGCTGAATTCGTCATTAGATGAAACGAAATAAAAGTAACAAAATATTTTAATATTAAACAACTCTTTAAAAAACGGAACAAACCAGATTTGAACGATGAAAGAGCATAAAAGCCAACGCAGGGTGACAATGCAATAATATATTACTTTGCTTTACATACATAACGATAAATGTTTCGATCATATTTGTTTGCATATTTCTCTTCCCCTTTTTTTAAAAAATTCTAATGTAAGAAATCAAATCAAAAATGCTCAAAAATATTTGAGAAATGTTAAAATAATAATATAAAATAATATTAAAATTTGAATGATGAGAGAGAGAAGAAGCATAAAAGCCAATGCAGGGTGACAATGCAATAATATATTACTTTACATATATAACGATAAATGTTTCGAAGATAACCATATGTCTGGTCACTTTCAATATGCAAATTAAAAACATATCAGCTGCTACTTTGATATATTTTTGATTGCGATCTTGAGGGTAACCAGATATATGATCGAAACATTTATCGTTATGTATGTAAAGCAAAGTAATATATTATTGCATTGTCACCCTGCGTTGGCTTTTATGCTCTTTCATCGTTCAAATCTGGTTTGTTCCGTTTTTTAAAGAGTTGTTTAATATTAAAATATTTTGTTACTTTTATTTGGTTTCATCTAATGACGAATTCAGCAAAATAAATAGGAGAAACGACGAATTTAGACGATTACTAAATGAATAAATTCTCCTTTTCAAAACAACGGCACAAACCTTGCTTACTTTGCTTTAAAGACGATTTGTTTACGAAGCGTGAAGCTGCATCTGATCGTTGAGTAAACGGTCTTTTGTTTCTATAGAAGCTCATTAAATTTTCGGAAGATATCATTATTCATTTTACATGTGAATCATATGATAAGACTTATTATCGTTGAAGGGACACATCACCACGATACTACAAATTATATTTAATTTGTTCAGGCCCAGGCATCTGTGGCATCATACGTAAGCAGACGTCTTAAATATTTATGAAGTTGTGAAGATAATGGGTCCCACGTACTCGGCGTCACCTCTTATCTCGCGACGCTGCAACTTTGTTTCTTTATTCATCACCGGAAAGATTTCAATTGTCGGATTTTACGATATTTTCATTATCTCGATCGTAAAGGCGTATTCATCATTTGAATCACATTTTACGGTATACAAGATATTTCGTTTTTTTTCGCAACGATGTGAATATTTATGAATCGATTTATTCGAGAAGATAAGTTCACACGAACTAATTATAAGATTCATAATATTTTGTCAAATTGAATTCAACAATTTGAACTTTATTCGACTCCTTTATGATTTGCCCGAGCAAATTAAGAGAAAGGATTTTGTTAATTTAACAAGCCATCAATATCTTTAACAAGTGACCGGTAAATATGTGATAATAAATTTGGTTTCTGGTTGCTGCTAATCTACTATACATCAACTAATTACTAGCAACAGAAGCAAACTATATAGAATCTAATCTATCTTTCGGATTTTTAGGCTCGTTTACACAAAAATCGTAGATAATGGTGGAGTTTTAAATCGTAGGAAATTGATCAATCACAGTCAAATAGGGAGAATACTTGACTAGAATCGATCAATTTCTTACGATTTGAGACCCTGCGACCATCTACAACTTCTATATATGTAATGAACCTTTTATTTGCAAGCGATATCGATTATTTGTTATGACGAATGAAAAATAATTAATTTGTAATAGTAACTAATCGATCGTTTTTTAAACAAATATCGTTTTAAACACATTCATTTTCTTTTGATTTGTTCCTATAACAAAATCATTTCTCTCAATGCAACACTATGTGTGCAAACGTTTCACGTCTCAATCTATCTTCCTCCATTCTGTGAACGAGTTGATTTCAACTTTTTGTGGATTGTCTCCACCTATCGATTCACACCTTCTCGAGGCACCCTTTCGAGTCGAAAGGGGCACGTTCGCTCGTACGACCACTATGCGCCATCGTCGTCTGGTTAGCAGCTCGCATAAAAGGAGCTCGTTTGGCGACGGGAAGGGGGCTAGAGTGTCGTGGCACTCCTATCCAAAACAGAACGATTAATAACTTTTCAAATCTGTCCTCGGCAGGGTCGTGAGTCGGGGTACCGCGCTTCGGTAGCGCGCGCGTTGGCAAATAAATAGCAGATAAATAAAAGCGCGCGTCTCTCCTACGTCGTGCATTCTGTCGTGTGCGCAGGGTTGCGTGTGCAGATGGCAACAATATGCCGTGAAATATTGCCAGTGGTCGATGTGTGCCACCGCCGCGATATGCACACTGACGTGCATATTCATGCGTGTATATGCGTGCGCCGGTGTCAGCGCGAAACCATGATCGCTAGTGTTCAATATAGGGTGTCTCAGAAATGCAATCTTTAGCTTCAATAACAGATTCTTACATTATCTTAGTATTGTCACTTTTTTTTTGCTAAAATATCAAGAAATCGATACAATTTCCGTTTTATAATTAAAATTGAAAGACTTTTTGTGTGTGTGTGTGTGTGTGTGTGTGTGTGTGTGTGTTTGTATGTGTGTGTGTGTGTGCGTGTGTGTGCGTGAAATATATATTCTTTTTTCAATGTGCGATTAGATGGATGAAAATAACGATGAATATTTTATTGAAATTTAATAAATTTTACTTATGATTTTAATTGGATATTTAAATAATTTTTATCAATGTGTTCAATTTCTTGAAACTCTACAGATAGAAACTAGCAACAGATTCATAAAGAATCTATGATTAAGATTATACTAAGGTTTCATTAAAGTCATCTGAAAATTTAATTGGATACAGATCTGAAAATCTTGTTGAATAATTTCAAGACAGCCTATATGTATAATGCAAGTTTCCGTGCATACATTTCGTTCACTGTACTTATGTACGTACATTTAGAAGATAATCGTCTGCGTGTGCGTGTCATGTGTCGTCACACACGCATGTAGTACTCGCATCCGCATATACAATCACTATACATTCGCATGTTTGAGGTATGCATACATATGCACGACACGTGTTGTTACAGAAGGATCTGACTGTGTCGGTCGTCGTGTCCGCATCCTTGGGCATACATACCTCTCTATATGTATATATGTGTGTTTGAAATTCATGGTGCACCAGGTTATACCGTGGTATAGCACAGCCAAAAAGGGAACACAGTCGAGGCAGTTCCTGAAGGGCAGTACAGGCATCGTGTTATGACTTTCAGAATGGAGAGGCACAATGGCCCAGATCCACGCCGGATAAAATAGTTATTATAATCGTTTTGGCTATGGCTGAAATCGAAGAACGATACACGCGCGAGCTTAAACATGTATGTGTAATACACTGGCGTCATGGAGGAATGTGCGGGTTCGATGGCTAGATTTAGATCGTGAGTCCGTACTTCATCTATTGGGGGACGGAGCATTTAAACAGAAGATGCAATTATTTCTTACTGAATCATAAAAATATTTATTTTAATACATGAATTTTAAGAGTCAAATAAATTCATACATATGTCATGTATAATTTTAAACGATTATGCAAAATAAGTCTTATAGGGACTGCGCAAATTTTAATTTTGTAATTAAAGATGCTATTATTATATTATTATTTCTTAATTAATTATTCTTTTTAATAATTTTTTATTCTTCTTCTTGTCTATGTTTTTA